GTAACAAGGAGTTATTATACAACACAAATCTCACCTGAAGAGGTGGATAAACTTTGATTCCTGCAATTTGAAGGCTAACGGCAGTATACTTCTTGAGGATGCGGTGAGGGATGTCTTCTCTCAGTTTCTTGACAATGGACTCTGGTATGAACCAGGTGATGATGAAGGAACCGGGAAGGACTTTAGCCAACAGCATGGCACAGTCTCGAAGCTTGTAGTGATATGCAAACTCTTGTCGAAACTGCTCCACAACTTCCAGTGTAACTTCGTGCGGCCAGTCAAACTCGGTGACGATTTCCTTGAATTCCTCAGACGGCTTCCTTCTCCTCCTCTTCTGACACTGGCAGAACAGAGCTAGTGGTGTCTTCTGGCGGAACCTCTGCAGATCGAGCTTGTAGGCCTCCGTCTCCCTCCCCACGTCCAAACCAAACTCCTTGATGAGGTAGTCCAGCAACTGGTAGGACAGATAGTCCCAGTGAAGGACACTCAGCTTTCCGATCAGCTCCGGGATATCTGTTGACTGATAGAGATCACTTAGATTTTGTTTCAGAAACTGTCTATGTTCATCGTTATCATCTGGAGACATTGACGTAAGAGCGTCAACTACTTGCTTGACTGAAATCTTGCGTTTCTCGAGGCACCCCCTGGCAGCCTTCTTCAGGTCATTGAACCTCTTCTCAAACCTTCTAATCTTGGCCTGGACATACTCAGTGGTCATTGGACCTGTTGGACAGACCATGGTCACATAGAGTTATGGATCAGTGGCAATATCTCAGACAGGTGTGGAGCATACGTACTAGGCTGAGGTGACTCTGGTCGATGCTGGAGTTCAGTCACTGTATCCCCAGTTGCTGGAGAAGAAGGAATAGACACTTTTTTTTTATTATGAAGCATAATGTGTACACACTTGGTTGGAGTGCAATGTATATACATTAACAGCCACGCTACCAAGATTCATTGTTTCCTTATATGTGCAAAGCATGCAAACTTTATTCATTACCACTATTACCAAAGGTTTTTTGAGTCTTCAATGTGCAACTGCATTATACTTGTTTGCTTGGCCATCACCACAATTGCTGGGTCCAATGGCAGCTGCCATAAGGTACTGACTAATAGGGCTGCAAATTCTTCATTGTGAGCTTATAACAGTGGAACCTCAGTTCTCCATGAGTCCAAAGTACTTGATAAACATGATATCCTCTGATAAAGGAGTCTAACTCTACTGTAGAAAGTTGAAGCGAAGGTAAATGAACTGGTTGAGATGCTAGTCTCGCAGCAGACTCTTCCTAAGTTGTGAACTCGCGCTCGATCAGACGTGGGGCGGGGCTGGCACGTATCTGTGCGCTAGTTAGAGTGTCTGTTATAAAGAGGTGTTAGCGAGTGCTTCGGTACCGGAAGAGTGTCCATTATTCGGAGGTGTTCGCTATTCAAAGTGTCTCCAATTCGGAGGTTTTTAAAGTACAGTATCTATGGGAAAAGCAGTTGGTACATCGATCACTGTCCATTGTATGGTAGGTGTCGGCTATTCGGAGTGTCCGCTAAAAGAGGTTCCAGTACCCTCTTAAAAAGATTGTCTATGTGATTTTAACTTGGCTTATGATAATGACGTGCGTACTGACTGACTAAAAAGAATATAATTCATATGATTTTAACTTGGCTTATGACACACGTGATGTGACTGGCAGAGAATCGAGCATTACAACTTTCCGGAGTGGCCCTGCTACACTTGTTAACAGCTACAGTATAGTGGACTAACTTGGTTGTGGTAGGTCTGGTTGATAGTCCACTTCAGTGAGTGGTGAGGCTCCAGAACCTGTGGAAACATGGAGTATTCAAACAAGCAAGTCTTGCTGAATTATGTACTGGTATTATGTCGAGAACCAACAGAGAGTCTAAATTTGGACAAAGTTAGGTCAACCATTACCATGGAGAGGAGAGGGGAGGCCTGGTTGAGAGGAGATGGCCGGACTCTGAGAGGAAGAGACTGAAACAGAGAGAGAGAGAGAGAGAGACAGTAATGGAAACTGAGGAGAAGAATCTCAAACACTCCTACCACTGGCTTCAGGTGCGAGTGCTGGTGTAGTGTCAAGAAAGTGAGCTGCCTCCACAGCCACTGCTAGCTGACGAAGATTGACTACAGGACTTTTGAGGGCATCTACAATGACTCTCCAGGTTGGTCTGGGCTCTACTTGGTTCAGGAACATCATGACGACTCGGAGGAGGCGCTTTGCTGGCTCGGAGTATGTTGAATGGATGCCCTCAACTTGATGTGGCTCTAGATTCAGCTTCAGGCCCAGTTCGAAGGACTGGTTCTGTGCTGGTAGTAGCTCCTCCAGTACTTTGACGGCATCGTTTGGAGTCAGGACCTCGCCACCCGTCGTCGGTGCTGTGTACATTGGATAAGGTTATGTTAGCGATCAAGGCCACTCTAGATTATTGGCCAATTACCTTCGGCCATTACTAGCAAAATCTCTGATCAAATCTCTGCAGGGTGGCGACGGGCAGGGCTTGTTTACTCCTCCATAATAGCTCCACCCACTCTTTTGACAAGCGCGCTGTTGCCCCCGCGCGCTGGCACCGCCTTGTGCAGAGTCAAGTCTACTGCAGCATACTGTCACAGAGTAGCTGGAGGCGTCTGTTTCCTACATGTCTAAAGTATAGTACGCAACTGAGTTTGGATGATGTGACGTCTTCCCCTTCGAGATCAGCTGATGTGACTTAGCGAATGAACTCCAATACACTTTTACACTGGACGAACGTAAATTTGATTTCCAGACACAAAAGGCAGGTGGAAAGGCACCAAAAGACCGTATTTCCTTATGTATAAAAACATTTCCAACTAAATAGTAAATATGGTCTTTAATGTCTTTCCTAAAAATAAACGGCCATATTTCCTGGCATTTTGTCCAGCTCCCTTAGATGTTCTTTCCTGCACTTAACTCCCATGAAAACTGGGATTTTGTCCAGCTCCCTTCCTTAAAGATGTTCTTTCCTGCACTTAACTCCCATGAAAACTGGGATTTCCTTGCATATTGTAATCTTAAACAACACAAAAAGCAAATTAAAATGATGAAAAAGTGATACAAAAATGCATGAAATAAGAGTGTTTGTTTTCTGGAATTGAGGTTGTAAATGGGAGCTTCACTGTCAGATTCAAACATTGGTCCCTCTGAAGCAAGAGTTTTCACACCAAAGCTTCTGGAAATGGACATAACACATAGACACACATACAGTACCCTGTTTGCACAGACACACAACACAACCCTTCTTTAAAAATGTACAAGAGTTCCCTCCTACCCACTATGGAACACGCCAAAGATATTTGAAGGGAAAATTTGGCGCCATACTGAACACTCACTAAACCACAAA